TGTTGGTCGCCATTTTATTTCATTGTGGCCACTCCCACTTTTAATGAAATATTGAAAACTGAATTTATGTACCCTTTTCAATGCATAACATCTACCGTATTACGCATAAATAGGGGTGACATACGTGTAGAGACAAACAGACAAACATACTCGTCTTGTTTATGTGCGGCGAGCTCAAGCTCACCCCAATTAATGATACAATAACCACACGTTCAATTAAGGGTGTGTCAAGGGTGTGGCTAACAATTTTGTCACAGATTTAACTACGCCAGACATGAGAAAATAATATTTCCATGCTCTTGAGCTTCATTCTCTTCTTATGGAGGTACGGCTGGTCAGTTGCTTCTTTCTTGGAGTTTAGCAGTGCAATTATTATGAAAATTAGTGATTTCACCCTAATAAATGCAAGCGGTCAATAGATCGATGAAAACTGCATTAAATTCGTAATAATGACTCTAATCCAATCTGTAAAATATCGCTTATATTGATAAAGAATTGATGTATCACACATCACAAGTGTGCTAAGCAAGTATAATTTTTTCACTTTATCACATGAAAATAATCATCTGGTTGTAACTCTTCCATATCATCAGTCTCTAGCTTATTACATCACAATTAAATCTTTAGAACTTTAAAGGACGCAACTATGTGTGCACTGTCGCCTGTGACAATGTTGTCAATCATTCTTCTTAAAGGGTAACTCCAGTAAAAATATTAAAAATTTATTATCAGTTCCATAATATTGAATATATATTATAACTCAATTTTTAAAATAAAATTACTTTAAAATATGTACTTTATAAGGAGAAATTTAGCATGTAAATTTGAAAGTACTCTTCATCGGCTATTTTGTTAACTTAACTTCCTGTTGTGGGCATGGTCAATAAGAATCTTCATGCTACGTGTAAGGGGGAACAGTAGCTTTAAGATGGCAGTCTATAGTAGGTCTTCAGATGATAGTGATGCAGAGAAAGAAGAAGAAATGACTGATTTTGGTCTTCAGCCCTTTCTGTATGAACCAGAACCAACTTTTGAGCATTCTTCTGAAAGTTGTAATTCTTCAGATGTTGCGGATTCTGATGATCCTAGACCTAACCCTATACAACAGACATTAAATTGGTAAACATTTTTAGAATTATAGTAATCATGACATTAAGCTGATACAGGTGTAGATGTGGCCACTGTGAAATAATGCCAAATGGAAGATAGTGTGTATGCTGTTATGATATTCCACAGGAAAATGCAAGAAATGCCTGCAGGGTCTGTCACATGAATAACAAATCATCCTTGTTTCAACAATGTCTGCTTCAACATCTGGGTACTACAAGCAGCTAACTATAATTATTTACAGCAATATAGTAGAAATGCTTCGTACAATGGTCCAATTTACAAGTAAGACTGTACATGAAAGACTAAATTATTAAATTATTGCTGTGTAGTAAACTTTGTCATATTGCACACTGCCAGTTAGTTTCATGATTCTGGCAACGTTTAGGAAGAAAAGTGAGAGTTGTATTACCTTCATGTGCTGTTTGTAAAATCAGACAAACCTTTCCGTCACAGACATTACATTATGTTGGCATTAAAATATAATTAATTAATTAATTTGTTTATTAGTTCCTTTGTTATTAAATCTACTTTTGTGCAGTTTTATTGCTTCCTCTTTTACTGGCCTTTCGAACTGACTGGCCATTGTTGGAGGAGGCTGTTGCTGTGTAATCTGTCACAAGCATCTAAGACCTGATGTGTTATATTGTTGGCATATTCTACAAGGGATAGCAATGAAGAATTTGTAATTGTACTTATAAACTAACAATATGAACATTTTTCTTTTATTTTTCTGATAGTGTGTCCCCCTTTCTTGAACTAAGGAAAGGAGATACTATATCTCAGTTTGCCTTGTTTGAATTTTGCTTGTTTCCGTATAGCATTCTCATTATAATGTAGTGCTGCTAGTTGTAACCTACATGTATAATGATATACCTGAATAGTGATCAATGATCAAGAGTACCTTGCAAGCATCCCATTGTATGAAAATGCTGTGTGTTTTGGAGCAAATTGATTGATTAGACTGTGAAATGCTTCCAAGTTAGAAGTTGGGTAGCATGGCGATAGATTACAAATTGCTTTACACAGAGTTTTATTTTCAACAATGCTAAGTAATTTTTTGCTAACTTTACTACCTAAATGACACAAAATCATTGTTGCTCTATTTGAAATTATTTAGATTTACCATGTTTGAACCATTTCCTTTTGATTTTGCCATGAGAGCATTTCTTTTAGTTCTTTCCATGCCCTGTATGTTTATATTGTGTAAGTGTCTAGCCAGCGACAACCATTTTTCCTTCATAATTTCTGTTTTGTTGTCCTCTGTTGATGTGACACTCCAATACAAATGGTTTATCATGCTACGTGACCATTCACCAATCAAATGACATTCTTTTTCTTTGTAGCTTTATCTAGTTTCTTACGAAAGCCTATTTTAAGCTAAACTTTATAATAATACTTTAATGTTCTTACTTTTTGCTACATGCCAAATGTCAAACCAATGCTTAGTTCTGGGCATTTCTTCTTTCATCCTTATTGTAACTTCTGTGTGACGATCTGTAACAAATAGACCAACTTCCAGGTTCCTTGCACGTAAAGCTGTCATGGCTCTAACAAGTCCCCCTTTCTCCATGTATGAACTACCTTTCACCTCGTTGGACTAAATGTATTACTTTCAATATTGTTAAATATAATGATGTATTTGTATTACCTGGACGAGCTGAATATCTAACACTTGGTTATGAGCAAGGTCCATTACAGCATTCGACCAATATTTGGCACAAAATCCAGGACTGTCACACCTTCCATCGCCACCTAATATAAGATCCTTGTTAAGAGACTTGAGATGAGAAACATTTCTGATTGCTATTTTTTTCAGATCATGTTAATTGTTGGAAAGAGAAAGCGATTCTGGTGATCGAAGAAAGTACTGAAAGATATGCTCTGGCTGTTGAGAAATTCAAAAAAACGTAACGTCTTTTTGGGAAGTAGGCCACTTGACAAAATTGCAGCAGAAATCAGAATATTACATATGGGAATATCATTGATAATATTCTGACTGCTCCATTTATGACTATACCAGCAGAATGTGCAAGTTTGTATAATTTGCACCATACTGCCTACGGTAGTTTTGGAAACATATGACTTATTAAGACAGGCTGGGCAATGTGAAAATAATGCCAACAACTGCGATTCACACACGATGTACTTCTTCTCTGTGACAGTCACTTTCCACATTGCTATAAAAATGAATTACAATAATGATAATGTATTAAATTTTATTTCCCTCTCATCACTACCTTCTTCACAAAAGTCTGATTCCAGTGAAGAACTGCAATGTGACTCATAGTCATCATCACTGTTGTCACTGCCAATATCTTCATCAGATGTCATCATTGATGAGTCTGTAATTGATTCATCATCAAAAGCTAAGGTACAATGTACACCAGCATCCATCACTACATGAGCTCCAATGATTTCACATTAAATTCCTTGTCAATCATTATTGGATTAGCTTGAATTCCTGTTAAATAGTACAGCCTATGTTATCCACACAGTACACTGTATAATTACTTTTTTGTTTGTCTGATTTTATTACCAGTTGAACCTGTTTATTATTTGTAAAAGTTTCAGTTTGACATTGTTTGTCATTGAATTCCTAAGTAAATGTAATGATTAAAATTTTAAGTATTCTTTCTATTCAGCTTAAGTTTACAGCTTCACTAACACCATCAGTCTCCATTTCATCGCACTCAAGTAGTGTTGCACAAGTGAGATAATCATCACCTTGAAGTGGCAATTCAATATTTGTCTCGGCATTCATGGATAGTACCTTATCTATATGTATAGTGCAATCTATAGTATCAAGAGTGGATAATGTACATAATACCTCTAGAAATTAAATCTGCAACAATTCCTCTCTTTAGTCTAGCTCTATCCATTTCTCCACTACATTTGAGTTTTTTTTGCTAACTTGATGTCTGGTTGCGGATGGTCTTGGGAATAAAGTAGGCACTGCTCTTTCCTTCAGAAATTTTCTGAATGGTATACTATGTTTAGCTATGATAGCCTTGCATAAGAATGAGAACAAATTATTTCCCTAACCAGCTGCATCAGATAATGGCTCAAAACAGTAATCTGTGAAGTGAATACTACAAATGCAGGAGTACTTAGTTGGACCACTCCATTTATCTCTTGTTCGCCTAACAGCTGCTGTCCACTTTATTTTAAGGGCAACATCAGTTGGAAAAGTAAAAAGGCTGACCCCATCCTTATGTGTATTGCTGCAAGAAGCTGCTGTACAGCGTTTCCCCATCTTACATTCATTCCCTCTTACACGTAGCATGACGATATTTAATGACCACGCCCACAACAGGAAGTAAAGTTGACAAAATGGCTGACAAAGAGTAGTTGTAAATTTACAAGCTAAATTTCTCCTTGTAAAGTGCATCTTTTAAAGTAAATTTTTTTTTAAATGTGTTTTAGTGTGTTTGCAAAATATACATATATTAATGTTTTTTTCACTGGAGTTACCCTTTAATGTCAAACAAATGTTCAACACCTTGATAGTCCTGTGGCGATTTTTTTCTGCATGAAAAGAAAAGTGGTGACAGTGAAGAGTCACACTATTAATTGAGAATCAGCAAGGAAGTTAGCTGTCATGCAAAAAAGGGCCTCATTGCCAGTTTTCCGCATGTCTAATGTGACAAACCTGTTCCACATTTTTACTTATTTCTACAAATGGTCGAATTTTTAGTGTGTTGTTAGGAACAATGGTCACTGAGGGGCTTTTTTGATAGCAAGCTTATCTTGGTTTTGCCTTTGCCACAATTTTTCGAAATGCTGCACTGCCATTGTACAAAGTTGCGGTAAATGTTCGGCAACAAAAGTTACTATTGCATTAATTAGCTATTTTTTCTACTGTCATTTAAATTTCATTTGTGACCAGATATGACAAAACCAGGCTACCGGTGGCAAATATCCATTACAGATACGGCTTAATTCCCAAAGTTGTGACAGTGGTAAAATATGAAAACTGAAATTTAAAAAAAAGTAATAAATCATTTGAAAACTTTACTTTCATTTAATACAAAATGTGTCCATGAATAAGTTATTAACAGACATTTCTTTTCATTGTGCAGCATGTACGTAATGCAAGATGAATTGATAAAAAAGGCTGTAACTCAAATACATTTGTTTAGACTTCTTTGACATAAAAAAACATAACTCAGCACTGGATGTGTCAAATGACTTGAAACATAGGCGAAAGGAAAGCAAAACCATACTTCAACAAGAAGAGCAAAATCTTAACTTTCAATTTTGGACCTCTTAGCCAGCTTTTTTCTGATTGGGTCACGTTTGTTAATAACTGTGTTCCTGTTGACTTTAAATGTAAAGGTTTTTATGAGTAAAACAATGGTTTCTCTTATGTATAGGATATCTAACACCTGCGAAAATCTGGTGGAGAGCATAGTCAAAGACCACTGTTCATTGGGGTGTTAAAGGCCCCTAACAACCGCAATTTAGGTTGATAGTTATTGTATACTTTGGCAACAATGAGTCTGGCATATGACCTACTATTATCTACAGTTTCATCGGTTTACTTGTCAAACCACATTGTCAAATCAAGTGACAGTTCATAAAAACATGCACATTTAACACCTGCAGCACATCAAAAGTTACTACAGCAAAAGCAAATGCCAATAGTATAAGTACGTGTTATAAAAATTAATCTAACCTTTCTATTATGGCATACCTTCAAGTGTGTCATTTGGTGTGATGTCTTTCTTTTTATCAAAATATCATGACGGTAGTGCTTGCATTTTAGCTTCAAAATATCCACATGACTGTTGATACTGGGTCCATAAAATGAGAAAATACTGGTGATCTAGCAGTAGAAGGCTTTTTTACAATGTGCTAGCATGGGATAGGCATGCCTTCCAGTGTCAGAATTGACTAAGTAACACAATGTAGGTGATAACTGACCCATGGTTGCCAATATGATAAATCTTTATCAATATGATGTCATTTCACAAAGCTCTCTGAATTTTTTAGGTGTACTATTAGTTGGTTATCGCAATTATTATTATGGTAAATATTAATTATTATCATTATAACCAAAACAATACAAAGAAGAAAAGAAGTTTCCGTCACTGATAAATAGAACAGTTGTGGAATGGCCAAGCCACATGCAAGCATTGAACCGCCATAAGTTATAGATATGTACTGAAGAAGGCCGGAGTGAGGTCAAAGAAATGGAGACCATCGCAAAAGCTAAAATGGTACTTAGTGGTTTCTCTAGTTTTCAAAATGAGCCATAATTATTACTATTTTTACCAGAGTCAACAATCAAATAGCACCATTAACAGCTGAAGCAATGGCACGGCATGTAACCCTGTGGGTAAAACATGCCCATGGGGGACACATATAATCATTTCTTCGCTAATAGAATTCCAATTTGTCAAACGTAGGTAGTTACCTAATCCTGCAGTCAAATATACAAGAAGGCTTATTCCCTTATGGCAGTTGTTGTACAACAGTTGCGGAATTGTTGCACAATTTAATGGGAATAGTCTTTGCATTTGTACAATTTTGCCAACACCATTGTATGAATTGGATTTAACTTTTTTTGTGATGCTGGCAACTGTTGCCAGTAAAAGAAGTTTATGAAATACTAATTCGCTTGAGTTTGGTAGTAAACCACTTTTATATTGATTAAAATAAAATAGTGGAATGTGATAGTCCACCTGAACTTTCTTCATCAAATGACTGACTCATAAAGTTTTTATGGTATCAGTGAAGATCCAAAATAACTTTGAACATTCAAGTCACATAAGATTTAATTGAAAAAGTTGAGAAATATCGAGTTCCATGCAATGGTTTAGTGTTGAGTTCAAGAATAAGTATACAAAGAAATATGCCTGGATATCTTAAAAGCTATTGAAACATCAGCAGTACAAATCTATTGGAGCCTCATATGTTAGGTCTATGATTGTGTGGCTAGTGTATTATGATGTAGAGGTTTTTTATGATGATTGAACTAAGTCACAATCGTACAGGACGCAGCCAGAAAAATGGCCATCACTAATACTAAGTATGTTGTTGATGAAATGGCTCTTATGGCTGGACACGAGATTGTTCGTCTGCCTGTGGCCCACTGCACACTTAATCCATTTGAATTGGCGTGGGTGCAGGTGAAGGGCCACATAAAGGCAAACACCTGCAAGTTCAACCTTGCTGAGGCTAGAGTTATGCAGAGAAGGGTTTTGAGGTGGTAACTAAGGAACAATGGGCTGACTTGGTCAAGCATGTGAGGGATAAAGTGGAAGAGCGCTACTGGCAAAATGACAATCTTGATTTAGATTAACGTTTTCATATTTCTGAGTTTGCATTCATGTTGGTAGGGAGTCAGATGGTGCCTCTAGTGAATTAGATCCTGCCTCAGACTCTAGTATTTGTCTCAGTGACGCTGTTGCTGCTATTAGCAGTGACAAAGATGCTTCACTATTTTTACTTTTTAATTTCACTGCACCATTTTGATTTACGGCAATTTTTAATTTACTGTAATCTTAGTTGTAATGATCTAATATGGAAATATGTATGCTTATGTTGTGTATTGTAATAATTATAGATCAATTTGCAGCCTGTAATGATTTTTGTTGCTTTTTATATTTAATAATAATATTCATATATGGTAGCAATCATAACTAACACTAACCACAAACACTTATGTGAAACTTAAAAGGTAAGTTCTGTGAATTTTGGGGGAATTTTTTTGCTCAATGTGTTTGCATGATCATAATAATGATGTCGTCCAACTCCCATTATTCAAAAAAATTATTCACTGAGATATGACCCTTGCAAAATGCTCATTTTTGCTTCTTTCAATGTACTTCCTGTCGGTGGGTGTGGCTAAACGTGACGTCACGAAAAGAAATAGTTGCAGAGAACTCCATTCCTTTATAGGGGGAAATGATGCATTATTCTCATGCCTAGTCATGTAATAGCAGTAACTTAAAGATTGGGATCATTAGCTTTCATTATTCTGAGCATGCACTGCAAGAAAAAGACTCAAAATAGCAAACAAGAAAATTCACCTACTTGTAGTATTGTTACTTTTCTTGCAGTTGCATGCTTAGAATAATGAAGGCTAATAATCCCAATCTTTAAATTACTGCTATTACAAATACAAGGCATGAGAATAAACGATCATTTCCCCTTATAAAGGAATG